TGGAACCCAGAAATGAAGCTTATAGAGATAAGATAACCTGGGTCCTGGTGATAGTTCTGAGTTCCTGTATGCAGATAACTCAATTATCAGCCTTAATTTGGGACATCTTAGTATTTTGAAGTAATCTATCTTCAATTTGAAAATGGTTTTTAAACCAAGAAGTTAAAATTTCACAGTTCCCTTTAACATGTATGCTCTCCAAGGGGCTGTCTCAGTGTCTACCTTATGCAGGAAAGGATTTAATCTGCAAGGGACCTTTGGGTACAGCTTGAAAGTTAAGAGCTAAGAGAAAAGAGAATCCGTTAAGAATCTATACAACGCAATTTAAGAGAACAAAGGAGCATTAGTTCAAAAGAAGTCATGGAAACCAAGTGGTTTAGTGTCTCTGACTAAGCTCACCATTTTCTTGCGTTGGGATGTTATCCAATTCAGACCAGTCTTGGGCAATTTAATGCCTAGAGGGTAAGAAGGTGTCATTCCTTTCCACCAACACAAGAATTTCAACTACCACGCCAAGTCTCAATTCCACTTAATGTTTTTACAATTAGAATTTAGAACAGTGTGAGAGTGTTGGCAGGAAGTAGTACCCGGATTACCTAAGGTTGTTAGGTCACTATCCTAACCTTTATAGTTTAGGAGAACCAAGAGATACTGAATGTCTTCAGTGTAAGACTATGTATTGTTTAGAGACAACCCTTCTAGATTAGCTGAATGAAATCTTCCATGGCCTCTGAGCTCTTTTACAACTTTCACCAAGTTACAGGTAACTGACAGCAATGCAAAATCATACGTGCCTATCAAGATGCAAATCCACTCTGCCCAGTGGAGGTTTGACACCCCTCACATGGTGGGGGTGGGGGGGGAGACAGTTTTGCCTATGTGAGTTCATTTCAGTATTGCTTTATTTCATGAAAATGTGTGCTTCTCTGGATTCTAACCTGTGCCTGGTTCTTTCATTAATAACATGAGCATGTTAAGAATTTCACATACCTGTATGAAACTCATTTTCTACTTTCTTGAAAATTATTCCCTAACACCATCAAAACAAGACATCATTTCTAGCAGACACCAGATTTCTGAAGCTTCAAAATAAATTGTGAAGATGCCACTTACAACTAGCTTCTTAATGCCAAGTTTCAGCGATTTCATTAAAATATCATGTATGATTTAATCATGTACATAATACATAAGTTATTCTGATTAACCTTAAAGATAGTCCAGGAATTCCAACAAATCTGCAACAAAGTCAGTAACTGCTATATCTGTTAATGTTTCATTAAGTCACCAGTTAAACTAGGGTATCTGGGCTTGTAACTGCAGCAGAAGAGTCCTCTCAGTTTCAGACCCACTACCAAAAGTATCACTTTACTGACAATCTTAGAAATAAGATCTCAAAAAGAATAACGGACCAAAAATTCCAAATGCGTAATTTCTATAGTGAGCTTGATTGATAGTTTTCCAAAAGGTAATATAGGCAAAGACCTCTAATTATACTCACCAGGTACTATAAATTTTTAATTATCTGCCCCAACTATCTAGTCCTCCCTAGGAACTTACTCAAATTTGTCAAGTTTCACCCTAATTCCTTAAAATTCTAAATCCTGTGTTTCTTCATTCCTCCTCAGGGCACTTCTAACTGATCATATTGCCTCTAGCAAAGCTGAGGAGCCTGCAGAACAGGAAGGGATCAGAGAAGTAGGGGAGTCGTGATCAAGCTTTGAGGTCAGCTAACATACCTCTATCACAATTTTCACTCCATCAAGGTACCTTTAAATTACATTGAAGAAAAAGGTTTTCTTTGATTTATGGAATTCTTACACAGGTTTAAAAGGAATTCATGCTGTCAGGGGGAAGAGGTAACATTAGAAACAATTTCCTGAGAAAGAGATTGCAGTTGTATATAGGTAACTAAAGAGAAATCACACATTATCTTTTCCTATAGGTATTTTTTTTTTATGGTTAACTTAGAAATATTTTATTAACAATTAAAAAGATGCCAGATTTGATATGTTAATCACCATACATCAGTTTTTGATGTAGTGTTCCATGATTCATTGTTTTCATATAACACCCAATGCTCCATGCAGTACATGCCCTCCTTAATACCCATCACCGGGCTAACCCATCACCCACCCCCCTCACCTCTAGAACCCTCAGTTTGTTTCTCAGAGTCCATAGTTTCTTATGGTTCATCTCCCCCTCTGATTTCCGCCCCCTTCATTTTTCCCTTCCTACTATTTTTTTTTT